GCTTGTGTCAAACAAAGTGGAATACGGGTCTAACCGTTGGCTTAACGTCTGCTTTGTTTAACATTAACGAGGATACGAACTAGTTAGATGAACTTAATAAAAATTAAATCAGAGCTGCTTTCATGGAAATAAAAACTTTAAGTAATATCGTGAGTCTGATTTTACTGAGTCTACCAATTATTCTAGATATTCGTCATGGGGTTTAATATAACACGTAAAGAAATATAAAAATTCAGTCAAAGTGAAGGAGAAATTCAATAATTGATAGGTACTTAACAATCTTACTGGGTGACTTTTCGTAGTTATAGAGTTTAAGTATCTGGGATAAATGTTGACGGAAAAGTTATTGGATTTAATAGATACAGTTCGCAAGCGTGAACCTCTCTTGTACGATAGCACGTTTCTTCAAATAAGTTAAACTTGCAGCTAAACATTTTACACGTTTCTTTGGCGAAATATAATAGAGAGAACTCATAACGATCTGCATATTGCATTCTTTAGGATATTGATAAATGTTCTCAAATATAAGTTTAATACTGAATAATATAATGGTTTTATAAAGAAAAGAGAAACATTGATGATGTAAAGAACTCACAGAACTAACATCAATTTAAATAATTTTAGAATTAAGACACAAAAAGGAAACCGTTTTAGTAAGAACCAAGCTTCGTCTAGGGTATTTTATGCAATTTGAAGGAAAATGGATGATAATAATAGTAATAAAGTTATATTCCTAATTATGAAAACATTTTTTTATGTAATTTTATCTCATGCCACCATCATTTAGGATTTTTTTTCTCGCTTGATTTTGACAAATATATATTCAAAAAAAAGAGGTGTGTATGGAATTTAAAAAACTGCTTAACATTCAATCAATATCTTTGAATAAGTGTATAATATTATTAATGTATAAAAGTCAGTTGTAAGAATACCGAAAGTTTGTTCGAATTGAAGTTTTACGTGGAGTAATACCATGAATTTAGAGAATTTTAAAAATCTTTTACAGTTTTGGTTGGTATCTGTAAGTTACATGTCTCATTTGATTAAATACATATTTGAGATCTATAATCTCTAATATCTTAAATTTTTTTTAAAACATTGTATTTTATTTTAAGCTATTGTTTTTAAATGGTCTGTTGTTTTTGTTATAATATTTGCCAGTTTTGTACAAAGCTGCTGTTAAATATTTAATATTTGTACAATTATTTAAGTTTAAACGTTTAGAGCACTTAAGAAATATATGTTATTATATTTTTTATTCGATATACACAATTATAGACAGATTTTTTTAAATATCAAGAAATAAAGTTATAATTTTTTGATAAAGCCTTATCCTGAATTCCCGAAAAAAAGAAACAAATATATTTGTTTTCATTGTGTATGGCTTAAAAAGGTTGTATGATATTATAATATAAAATAATCAAGAAAAATTTAAGTTATCTATAATAGGAGTTTTAATCGTCTTAAAATAAACGTAGCCAACATTGGAGTGTGTGTGATGGAATTTCGTGTTCATTATTACTTTATAAACTAAACATTGTCCTTCGTGTATATTCTAGTCTATGTGGGATTAGCAAAATATACTGTGCATGTTTAAGCGTTATAGGACATACTAAAGAATAAGTTAGGCAAAACTAAAACATTTTGATCAAACAATTACGAACGTATTCAAAATGATTAGATCTCAAGAGATAAAAAAGATTTTTAAGATACTAATAACAAATGAAAATAGACTTTTGACTATGTATTTGTAGTAAAATTTATTTTGGTATTTTTAAATGAAACTAATATTTTCGGATTACTACGAGTTATTTTATTGTTTTTATTTTTAAACTACATTTTTCTGATGTTTCAATTACTTTGCAGTAACCGTGGTCACGAGGAGACGATATGTGATCGCGGTTGCTGCAAAGTAATAAAAACGTCGGGAATATGTAATTTTTAAAAATAATAAAATAACGCGTAGTAATGCGAAAGGATTAGTTTCATTTACAAGAATACTGGCGAAAGTCTTAGATCTCTTTATTTTGGTGTATTCTCAGTTATTGAATTTATACGTTTATGTATACTTAATTATTTTTTCATTGCAATGATTTTTCGATCTATTATAATCATTTAACTTTTCAACCATACAGTTGATAAAAAGCTAAGCTACAGAATAAATCAACACAAAAAATTCACAAACCATTTCTAGGTTGCGTGACATTTATGCAATGTTGGTAATTAAGCTTGTTGCAAAACCATAAACGCTTTACCCGATGTGCAGATAAAGTTAAATGCAAATATGCGGATATTCGGATATGCAATACAAAAAAACTAATTTACATACTCTTCAAATACCATCTCTTTGATTTTGCAGCAGCAGTGGCTCGAAGTTATATTTGTCATAGTAACTGCTAGTTCATTTTAATTTAAAAGTTTTTCGTAGAACATAAATTGAAATGCCATTATTTTATAAAATTTTCCTTTGAAGTTTTTTCTGAAATTTTTTCGTTTCAACATACACTATCTATCACTTACAAAGACTGACAGGTTTTTAGCTTCGGTATCATGTATGGTACAAGAAAAGCTTTTAAATTATGACATATTTTATATCATTCATTTTCGGGTTTGGCTTGATTCATATAATAAATATATTCCAGATTGTTTAATCCATCATGGTGTTCGATTAAGTTGAGGTTAGTTAATGAAAAATATGTACCTAAGAAAAAAATTACAATGAAACTCAAAGTTAAATGGTACTCAAAAGTGTCGAATATTGGAAAGTGTGTTACATCAATACATTTCTAAATTAATATATCAATAATAAGTCTTTGAAAAGTTATTATAATATATAATTACATATTTGCATTTTATAAAAAAAAATACCAATTGAAGTTGCCGTTTTCTTTTAAATAGTGAAATTCTAAATAATGAAGCCATTTATTTACATCCTTCGCCTTCTTATTTATAATACGAGTATATGTACATTTCGAAGTTATCATGTAGTATACTTATAGTCGCCAATTAGCATTACAATACGTTATGTACCCAGAGTGACAATCGGATTGAAAAAGTTTACTAAACGGATAAAAATATTTTCTGTTATGACAACATTAAATTTCACATAATGAGATCTAATACTCGCAATATTAAATTTTTCATTTAATTTTGAAAATTTTAATTATTATTACATATAATGAAAAGTGTAACAATTTGGCTAATTAAGTTAATAAGTTAATAGCTGTTTCATTACAAGGTAACTATTTTCTTAGTACTGTCTAAATATTTCAAACCAACTTCTACATAATTAACTTCTCATATAAATATCATTATATTAGTGTTAAAATTATATACAAGTACTTTGGTCAGTTATAAATTACAAAACAAGTCTTAAATAAAAGAAATGTTTACTGTAGAAACTATTGTAACCTCTTTGTTTTAATAATAATTAACCTCAATTTTTCAATGTTTTAAGTTAATATATAAACAGACAGATAATTAAAGGTTGAATTTGTTGAGTTTCCCTGAACTTTTGAGTTTCCCCTTACTTTCCTCATATTGCTTGACTTTCTTTTTTACGTCCACATGTATAAACATAATCAGCATTTTTTTGTACATGTTATGAAACCAATTACGATGAAACCGAAAAATGCTTACTAAATAAATATTGAATTTTTAATAAATTCTTATGATTGTCTTTCTTCTGTATCTGAACCAATAGTGTTAATATTTTGACTTAACGTATGCGTAAAGATTAATAAAAACGGTTTAAAATTTAGAGAGTTATTAACTCAAATTGTTATAAGAATTTCTTTGATTTTTTAAAAAACAAATTATGTCAGTCGATAAATATAGTTTTAAAATAGTAATTCGATGATTCGATGTACTGTTACAATTTTAAATAATTTATTGCAACATGAACTTAATTTCATTTTTACATTTCCACGGGAATTCATTTCAATATTTATTGTGAATGGTTTCTATTTGGTTACTTGCTAAGAGGATTTGGAAAATAAATCAGCTTAACAGCTTTAAATACTTGTTTTCAGTATGTATTGCTTAATGACGTTTTAAATTACATTTCCAAAGTTTGCTCTATTATAAATTTTATTTATTGCATGTAAGTTAACATTATTATTTAAATTTTACTAGATATTTTTAAATTATACTATAGCTTTATGGCTTGTTTCAATTTATTTTTTTAATTAATCTTGAAACGATTTGCATTTCATCCATATTTTGTGTATATTACGTTTTCATAGAAGTCGTGTCTGTAAAGTAATCCTATTGATAATATTCTGTATTAAATTTTATTGAAAGCCGACTATCAAAGGTTGGGTTTTAATTACTTTCAACAAATAATTAAAAGAACAATTGCATATTGTATTTATAACATTATGAGAACTCTCTCGATACATAATGATAGGTATGTACCTATTGTTGATCTTTTAAATCATAGTAATACTAGTAAGATAAGAAGCGATTATTTATTATTTAATATTTAAATTTTGAACAATATACAGAGAAATAAATTTGTGTAATTTTTTGTTTATAGTTTATGTTTAAAATAACTGTAGATTAAGGTCGGTTTGTGGGGTTATTTGTAATTTCGATAAATTGAAACAATAAAAATTCATGTAGTGACAACAGTTTGTAAAATTGTGAATCCTCATACCTGCATTGTCAAATTAAATACATAATAAGTATAAGACTGAATAGTATAACTTAATATAAATAATATGGGAAGACAATAAAAAACACTGAAAACTTAGATATAAATGTAAAAAATACCAACATAATTGTAATAAATAAATAAATAAATAATAATAAATTTTTATTAAAATTTTATTTATATAATTAAATGTAGACGTAGTAGGGTTATGCAAATCTATTTATTCTATGAAAAATATAAAAGAAATACCGACTAGAACATTTTACATTGAGAAATGCAGGAATACACAGTCTGGTAAATTGATCTATACCCAATCTATGTATATTAATCATAAGTTATGTTTTTCTTAGAAGGTCACTTGCTTTTTCTCTTTTTCAGCGCGAACAGTCATTTTTGTTGCTGTTACCGTCGTGTCTGCAGATTCGGTATCAGCGACTAGTGCTCTAAGGCGGGCGGCGCGTTTTTCCCTTGCTGCTGTTTTCTCACTCAATTCCGTCATTTCATCCTCCAAGTCCGATAAACGAGCCCTTGTTGCCTTTGCTCGTTGTGCTGCAGCACTCTCTTCATCGAAATCTTTTAAAGCTGACCATTTTGTGAGCGAATTTTCTTCATTTAGGCGGCGAGCAATACGTTTTTCTGTACGTTCTTCGTTTTCTTTAAGAGCTTTGCGGGCACTACTCATTTCAGATGCGCCTAAACCAACGCTCTCTAGGATTTTGTCCGAAATTTTCATTCTATTTTCAATGCTTGTGATGCTGTTCTCAAAGTCAAGATCATCAGTAAAACGTGAAGATTTTTTGCTTGCACGCAGCCGCTTTAGTGACTCTGTTATCTGAAAAGTACGAAAATCAAATATTTAAAACGAAATGTATAGAAACATAACTAGTTGATTAATAATTGAAATCAAAACAAACTTTATGATTTCAATAGATTATCTTAATAAAAGTGTTTCTATTTTATTTAATTTTTTTAGCTATAGAACTTTTATTATTATATTTTACTTCAATTATAATTTTTATATATCTATTATAAAAATTATAAATCAAAGGATTTTATCAGAACTATAAGCAGTTGCCTATTGTAGGGATGTTGACTAAATGAGACATTTAAACTTCCTATACCTTTAATAAAATTAAGTTATTTAAACAAATTGACATCTTTAATATCAAGAACTTCTTAGAGCTTGCAGAGAAATCTAAATAACATTGAATATAATATTTAACTGAAAATCATGTGTGTAATAACAGAACATTAAATTACTCTACTTCAACTACACTTCAAACAGTTCAGTTAGTTAATTGTTGCGTAGAATTATTTGAACTGAATTTTGAGTAAAATAGATTATGAGGCCACCTAGCGTAATTTAATTATATGATTTTGATTTAAATAGTAGCAACTTATGTGAACGAGCTTTGTTTGAAGATATACTGTTATAGTTTAGAGACTTCAAAAAGCGTAGAACTTTGTAAATATATGTTATAAGAATTTATACTGCATTTAAAAATTTTGCAACTTCTTAATTTTATGGAGAAGCTCTAAGAAGAGCTCTTAAATTAACCTAAAACGTTGGCTGCGTTTTAATGTCACACTAAACGAAGCTATTAAATATAACATATTTCTGTGAAAACAAAAAAAAACCTTTTACCTTATGAAATAAAGAAAAATATTTACTCTTAATATTCACAACATTACTTAAAACAAATACAATAAGGATTGGGTGTTAAATTTTAAAACCTAAAAATGTTATATTCCTTAACTGGGTCTACAAGACATATAAAACTAAAACTATTTAGTTTTATACTAGTATATAAAATATTACTACTATTTTGTTTTTAATTACGAGAACATAAAATAACTCACATTAATTCGGTCTCTGTGACCAAATATTAATGTAGACATGATAACGTTTAAGACCATTTAGTAAAACTGAAACGTTATAATTATTGTCGCTCGTTTGGTCTGTTATGTTTACTCAGATTTACTCTCAAAGCATCCATGTCAATTTCATTTGAATGCAATATCGGTTTGAATATTCCGGAGCTTCATTTATACCAGGTTTGTGGTCATAGTAAGTTTCCATTTATACAAGAGCTTACCACGTTTCATCAGATTGAACATGACCAAACCATATACAGGCTATTTATCATATAATTTGAAAACGGCTACCGTGAGATTGATAATCAAGTCCTGAAATAGCAAGCTGGAATAGAAAATACAAATACAGGTAACTTGTGGCTTTGTTTGAAGTTACTCTTTGGTTATGTTGACTCTGTTGTTTTTATTATTTATTGACATTTTATGTTGTAGCTTATCGTGTTTTCTTACTGTTGTTCTAATATATTTTAAAATATAGTATGATATTTTAATGGAGTGTAGTGATTAAGAAAACTGTATTAGTGTGTTTGCCTTTTATAGAGACTGTGAATAGAAATAAAATTTTAAAAATCCTTTATTTCTTTAATTGTTTATTACAGGATCTTTAAATGGGAACTCCTCTCTTTGTAACAAAAAACGATCTGACTCTTATATATCCAAGGGAATGACGATCATACATTTAAGGAAAGAAAATACTGCCCAAAAAAAACAACAAGATTTTATATCAGTAGATAAAGTTAGCAGCTAGATTATAAGACGAGTTAGGCCTTGCAGTCTATAAGAGAAGTACTGGTCACTTCTTAATTGATAATTTAAAAAGATTAATGGAGTTAAATCATGCCAATTGCTTAAAGGGTTACCCAAATTGAGGTCAGAGAAAAAAATATTTACAAATAAGTTTGTATTTACAATTGAGCAATATTTTATTAATCAAGATGTATTTATATTGCCAGCTCTAAAGGAGTTTCCCGTTCCTTAAAAGAGAACAACCTGTTTGGTGGCTTGTTATTTATGAAGAAGTAATAGGGTAATATTTTTGTATAATAAAATCAATATATCGACACAGTTTATCAAGTTACAATTCTTGATAAGCTTGTAAAGCCGCTTATCAACACAAAATTCAAGGATGGTCTTTTCAGTGGGAATTAGATCTAGGTACGAAAGGAAGGTATCGGTTTCATCAGACCTTAAAACTAGCTGTCATCTAGTTTATAATTTTAATAGTTTTATATGATTGTATTGAATAAGCACTCTTTAAGAAATAGGTTGTGTACTATAAAAATACTTTGTTTTTATTTGTAACTATAGTAATGGCAAGATTAAGTGTAGGAGTTAAATAAAAAATGTTTCTCTTTACCTGAACAGGTACTGCTGAAGATGTGAATTATTAATAATAGGTAGGTTCAAGTAGTTCAACATAAATATTTTCTTAAGAATATACAAAGGGAACTTTAAACTGCTTAAATAGATTTATTTCTTATTCAAAGCGTCTTATTCAAAGACCCTTTTGTACAGGAATATCAGATGTGTAGCTACATATAATATATACGAGTATATTATGCTAGTAATTTTTTTGTTTCGTGACATCGTTTAGTGTAAATATAACATATATAAAAATATATAAATTTAGCATATGGTAAAATACATATACATGTGTATATTTATGTATATACATTCTAAAAGCTTATACGGCATGGAATTATTTTCATATTGTTCCTCACAGACCGTGTAGGTTTTACCGGCTTAGCCCTCTGTTTAGTAAAAGAAAGCTTTTCTGAAAGAGTAGAAAATGCTTTGTAGAATCTCACAAATGATATTAAAAGGTGAAATTTACACAAAAATAAACAAACTTTTATATTTTAAAAGTACGCAATTTTAAACTTCGAGTAGGTGTTGTATTCGATATAAGTAATTAAGAATAAAATCAATTTTTTTAAATCACTTATTTGTAATGTATTGTGTTTTATAAAAGATTTATAAGAAATATTTTTTTAACTGTTTAACTTACTGTCTATCAGTGTGCTGAGAATATTCTTCGCTAATTGCTCGAATATTCATAACAATACGTATAGTTGTATATTTAAAACAAATGAGAAAATAATTGCTCATTTCTCAAGCGATAACAGTTGAAATGAATGTGCAAATCAAGAAGCAAGAAAATATGATTCCAATGATGTCTTTTAATGTATTTTTAATGATACATGGATATTTCAGTTTATAATATAATTTAAACATAATTTTAATCCTTACTAAAATGCAAAGTTTGATTTAAACTTACAACTGATTGCTTGATATTCTTAAATGTAATCATTATTCCATGTTGTTTAAACAACTTACAAATTTTATGAATGATTTTAAAGAATTACCCTACAAGGTGTACTATATATTATAAATTAAATAATCATATTGAATTTACAATATTTCTGACGTTGTTATTTATATTTTTTATGTATTTGTGAAATATGTATATGTATTTTAAAAGGAATTGTTTAAAAACAATTAGTTTTAAGAATCTTGTTACTTCAGAATCTTCTTTTTATTATAGGAATAAGTACTTAATAATTTTTTTAAATGAGCACATCTTATCAATATTTTATGTTTGTAATTTCTTCTAAACATCTAAGTACTCAAACTATTTATTTTACTGTATAGGAAAAAAAATTGAAGAATGCATAATGCCACGAATTGTATTTGGAAAACTAAAAATTTACCTTGTTCAAAGCTATGTGCAAACAATGAAATCTCTCAAATCATATAAAATAGTCACATTGAGGTTAGCTTTTTACTCCAATACATACTAACAATTCTTGATGCAGATTTCCAAAAAAAAATAGAATCCTATATGATATATATATTACCAGAGCAAAAATATTTTATGGACATAATGTAATTTTGATTGGCAATTAATTCAAAGATAAGTTTTATTACACTAAAGTGTAATTAGTTCTGTGGAATTTTCAATATATTTCTGAAGTTCTAGTCATTATGACACGAGACGTGTCTTCAAACAGTTATATAACTCAGATGTTTATGTTATAGTAAAAAACGCCATATTTCTAAGAATGTACATGTTCAATCAAAATTATGCGTTTTTATGAAAGAAATCTCATCTATGTATAGTTTTTAGCAGCATTTATTTACTCACAATACAGTAACACAACACGCAACTTCCTTCGCTTGTGGCAATAAATCTTTTCTTCCCGACCTCATTATCTGTTCTCATTTTGCAATGATACTACATTTATCGTGTATCGCTCATTATTCGTGATGAACGAAATCTCCAAAGAAAATAACGGTAGGTACTAGTTAATGTAACGTTTTTATTTAATTTCATTAATTTATGACTTACTGCGTACTTTTAAAATGTTGTTTTGTAATTTAAATTGTTTATTTTTATTATAAAAAGTAGTTTATGTAAGAACCACATCATATTAGCTTATCTTACATATGAAACTAAAATAAAAATTAGCACCATAGCGTACTTAGGTCCAACCTGTTGATTGTCGCCCGGATGATAAGAACATGTTATTCTACTACTAGACTAAGGAGTAGCCAGACTCCGAAATTGAAATAGCTATAAATAGTTTTCTTCCACATATAATAAATATTCAAATTTAAAATAATAATATTGTAAACATGAAATATGAGTTTAAAATATGAAATTTTTACTTTACTTTTGCTTCGATTTTTGGATGAATGAAACAAAGATATGTGTTGGAAAAAGAAATGTTATTTTATTTATTTATTATAAAGCTATCAATTGTGTAAAATTATATATATATTATAAGTGTATAAGAGACCTAATCTAAAAATGAATGGAATTTTTTACACTTTTTTTAATGCAGTATTATTATTAATTTTTACTCGTAATACGAATGAACAATCACCAAAGATGCTTTTTTTCATAACCCATGCTATAGGGGAGAAACTTGAAGAATAGTGTAACTTTTTAAAAAGTTTTTATATTTATATATTTTGATTTATATCGATGTGTAGAATGTCTATGGTATGCAGTACATTTCATATAATCCCGTTTGACGCCTCCGCTAACTCTCGTTATGCAGGTATGATGATCTATTCATGGCATTTATGAAAATAGAAATGATACACTACCGAAAATAGTTAAATGTGTTCATATGTAATGCCAAATAGGATTACGTTTTCCTGCGCATTATGCCTAATTGTAGTTTGAATAATCAATACGGCATTCAAATGACAATCAAACCCACGATCGTAATTTAGGAGATTAATTTGAATATACATATTTAGTTACACAAACAGCTGGTGTATATAGTTAAACAAGTAGGTATATAGACTCATGTCTTGTTCTAATATGTATTACTATTTCATGTCGTTTTAAATGGTCTATGGATTAGTCATTTAATCACCTCACTTTCAAAGTATATATGCAAAAGTATATTTGTCCTTGTCCAACCCTACGCCGAGTAGTGCGATGGTGGAATGTAGACGATGGCACTACATCAAACAGTTCCACAGAACATTCCCCATTGTACAGACGATAGAACATACTAAGGGAGCTCACATCCCTTCGGAGACTTAAGGGTTCTAGATCGTCTGTGAGCATGGGATCGTTGACAATACTAACTGCCCGACGTTGTATGGAGTCAAATGGAAGAAGTTGGTACTGTGGGGCACCGGACCAGAGGTGAGAACAATACTCCATGTGGGGACGAACCTGTGCTTTATGTAATTAAAGCAAGTGTCCCGGTGTGAAGTACTGCCTCGCTCTACTCAGTACCCCTAGTTTTTTAGATGCTAGTTTAGCCTTGTCCTCCAAATGTCTCCGGAATTGAACGTCGTTCGCTATGTCAACCCCAAGGATCCCAATGCTCTGTTTGATCTTAAGGGGAATGTCCTGGAACTTTGGAGCTACAGTAAATGGGGTCTTAATGCTTTTCTTCAATTTAAAATTAATTGTCCTGGCCTTTAAAAATATACTGTATTTATGAAAATTATTTAACAAATATGAAGTTTTAAATTTATAAGTAAATTTAAAAACGATATCTATTACTATTGATTCACATTTCTACTTTAGAGAAAGAAAAATTGATATATTTTACGAATTTGAATTGACTTCATAAATTATATTGATTCTATTTTAAAAGCTCCTTTTATATTTTCATTTTTTTTAAGTAATTTCCATAGGAAATGGAATTCCATGGAATTAAAATTTTATCATATTAGTATATTCTGTAATTTTTGCTAACCTATAAAAAAGGTCAAGAATTTTTTTATTTCCAAATGGTCTTTTTAGAGGGTAATTGTAATGTGTTTCATAGCACCTTTGATGACTTGGCTCGGGTGATGAACTACCTTCTAGACCTGAAGTGAAGCGTGAGCTTTGGTGTAGAAAATCAGTAGTGTGGAGGACTTAGAATTTTGTTTCACATGTAGACGCTAGAGAAGAAGTATTAAAACCCATTATCTCTTCGACGATCTAGTGCTGTGGTTGTATTAGGTTATTAGGGACAGTACCTAGTGTTGATATTGAGTACCATAGTTTTCAAAAAGCTAATTAGAAAGAGTTGGTAAATATTTTTCGTGGAGTTTTTTTTCTTATATGTGAGTTTTTAAGCAGATTTTTACTGTTAATCTCGTGTACTTTAATCATTCAAAAACTAAAATTTTTCTTATACTTAGAAAAGTCCTATGCTTCTATAATACATGAGTTAAATAATATTCACTTCACTATAAACTTGCCTGTAGAATTCTTTCAGGAGAAAATTTCAAAATATGATAAAATGCTTCTTATCCTAACCATTTTTAGTAAATATTTTATCGGATGAAAGGTTGTGAAATAACTTAAAATTTCTATTGCATGAATTTTTAACATAAAATACGAAATATGAAATATGAACGTTATGGTTTAAATGGGTTATTTTCGAAATTCAATTTTATACAAAAAGGCTTTTGAACCATTTATCAGATATTGTTAATGCATAATTGATGCTAATTGCAAGATAACTCTGTTATATATATATGTATATATTTGTTTTTGATACGTGACTGATTAAAATTCTATATTTTTTTTTGAAAAAACTTGCTTTCTCTTAATTAATTAATTGCAAAAAGGTCTTACTTCTTCTCCCAAGTCGCTGTCTTCAAAAGATGAAGACAGTGGTTTGCCTCGAATAGCGCGGGCGCCTCTCGAGTCAAAGAATTCTTCTGCTGGGGCCTCGATGTCATCTAGAGCGCTGCGAATACGAGTTTCTACATCTGACCTGATCCGTTCCGGTTCGGGTTCCTTCACTAACGGCACCTTACCGTCCAAACGATCTAATACTGGACGGTAATAGCTCTCGCCTTTGTTATAATTACAGTCATAGACTCGTGTACGTCTTCCTCTGCCAACTCGGCTCATTTTGATATATTTATAATTATTTTCTGTGGATTATAAAGATAAATGAATGATCAAGAAAAACTATCAGAGATGATAAATATTTGTATATATATACTGTTTGCTGTTTATAATCATAACGAATATAAATTTATGTGAGTTATTTTCTGGTTTAAGTGATGATTATTCTTAAAACAAATCATTTCATATTATTTATTTTTATGATAAAAGTGTGTCAAAGTCAAACTTTCCAAGATTAATAACAATAAAATTATCTCAATTTGTATTTTAGATATTCCAATGATGTGTGCATTGATTTATAAAAATTATAATTCTTCATAATGTTTAGTTGTAAAATGTGTAATGTGTATTTTTTCAATGTGAATTCTGTATTAAACAATAAACTCATTAAAAAAAAAGAAAAGTTTTAGACATCCGATATTTGATTTAAGAAAACAATTAAATACTCTTCTTGTATCATGCGTTTTGGTGGTTTTTAAACAAAGCTTTCATTATACTCATAGTTACTGATTGTTACACTTTTGTATATAACATTTTATTCCTATTGCACTTTTTTATACTTTTGATGGTTTGGCATCGAATTCTCGATATCGAAGAATTGAATATTGTTCTGTGATTCTAAGTCACTCAAGCGTTATATTGTTTCTTTATTTTCTATTATATACATATATGAGACCTTTTAATAATAGTTGATAATATTAAACGGAGTTTATTAATTGATTTTAAAGCAAATGAGTAGCTTAAGATTAATTATTTAAAAACCTTTAAAATTAACAAAAATAATATAATTTTATTCCGTAAAATTCTTCCCCATATACATTCATATAATCAACTTCTACGTTTTATAATTGATGTAAATGTATTTAAAATCCGCTATATTATAAATGATTATTTTTTTAAGGATAGAAAAAAAGAACAATTATTATAAATTATTATAGTTAAAACACTAATTGCTTTATTTAATTTATATTACAAATAAAGCGTAGGAAACCAGGAAACAAAAGTTACATTCACGTAACATCTCACAACAACAAACTTTGTAAATTCATGTTTTTTTTTGTTTTCGAGGAATTTTAAAAAAGCCCAATCGATCAAATTTCCTGATGGATTACGTTCCAACAGAACCGGCGTGTGCAATGAAGAGTGGAACAAATTCCAAAATAGATATCGCAAACATTCGATATGGGGATATTTTTAGTATCGAAACCCGGTTTTTGTTCAGACAGGCTCGTATTGTGTAATGCATATTGGACGTTACGCATTACGATAGAATTTGAATTTCAACGCACTAAGTAAACTTTTGTTTGATATTTGGAATTCTGATTATAAGAGTCACACTTGTACGAATAGTATTAACAATACATAGCACTGAAAGACAAAACTTTAGCATCGCACCGCATAAAAAGGTATATTTAAAGGAATTCGCAAACAGCGAGAAATCATATACTGAAGCGAGAGTTAATATATACCGAAGATATCCACTGACCTGGTGCGTGTTTAGGCGGCGGGCAGGCAGATGGAACTGGGCAATCGAAAGGTGACGGCATCTGCGTGAGAGCAGCGTGGGCGAGCCTATGTTTAACCGTGAGCTATACAGAAATATACTGACTTTTGTTACAGATCTCATTGCCGGAAAAATAACAAGGTGCTACTGAATCGTATAAAATACAACTAAAAATAAGGATACAATATATGTATAAACAATGAGCATATAATATAGTTTTAGTTTTAGGTTAAACTTTTTGAACAGTTTATAAAAATAGCTACAGGTCCATGAATTGCTATTAACATTCATTTTTAAATATTTATTAGCATAAATGACCAAAAAAGTTACAAAGAAGACAAATAAAATTAAATTCTGTTATCCCTTTTACACTGTTTTATCGTGCATTGTTCTATTTCTTATGAGTATTTTGCCAATATTTTATATAACAATAGAAACTTTAAATAAATATGAATGAAAATTTATAATATTTATATTAGCTGTATTTAAATACTGTGAGAAATATTAAATATAATTTATTATTTCCTGTCCATGTATTAAAAATGTTAACAATAAATACATCGATATTGTGCTGAAAAATTGACGTAATTGAAAAAACAAGTCAAATATTTTGATATAACAAACACATAAACAATCATTCTTAAATATTAAGAGTATAACAATAGATTTAACACGTGTTTTCTTGCCAAACCGACTGACGTGTATTTTATCCACGGCCAAAGGGAAAATTGCTCCTATTAGGCAATTGGTATAGTATTCCTGCATCTATTTTGGTCGATTCAATATCATATTCATTTTGCAACACTGCTCGGTGCACAAAACTTAATGTTACAGAATTCTTCGACGTCACGTATTTTGTCATCTACAGTAATAAGAATTTGTAGTTTTACTGGACAATAATAAAATAATTTCAATTGAATGTAGTGTACGTTCGGAAAAGAATATAAACAAAATAATTTCAATTATTTAAAAGGTAACAAATTACACTATTTATTAAGTTTTAATTTCCATATATTTTCACATATATTACTTTTTCGTTTCATGCAGTGTTTTTTTCATTTGTAATAGATATGACGGTCTTTGTTCCTTATATTGTAAAAAGATTTTTATTGTTCTTAAAATATAAAAGAATATATAAACCATATTCTCATAAAAATAATTATTTCTCAATATGGCACAATAATCAGCGTATTTTACATAATTAGTGTAACAAAACAATATATATTTTAATATACAAGCTTTAAGTTTCAAACGAATCACTTTTATAGCATCTCATAGTATAAACGATTTATACTACAATTTAGAAGTAAAGATTATAAGGGGTAGCAATAATTAAATCGGATTTGAATCATAATTCAACATGGGGTTGTAAAGGGTCCTTTGTACTCGGAGCTCATGACTTTCAAAATTAACTTTTACTGCTCATATTGCTAAATTCCAAACAAATTAACTATAAGAAGCATAATATAATATAATATAATATAATTTTAAATATTGAAATGATTGAAAATATTTAAATGTAATTTAACGATTACCTCGGACTTGTTTAATAACATCAGGAATATTGTAACTTGCCTAATGGCTTTGAGTAGCCTAAATTCTACTTTACTATGGGAGATTGAAGATCATTACCTTCTAATATCTTTCCGATAGTTTACTGTAATTTTCTAATGTTTCTATCTAGTTAAATATACTCCTAGTTTTAAATAAGTTTTAAATTTGCTTAATGTTTCAAATATGAAAACTTTTGCAGCATGTATGTGTAGACTACTACATTTGAAATTAATTCAATTGTTACAAATGAGTTCGTTTTAATAATGGCTTCGGTATTTTGACATATTTAACAAAAGTTTAAATTGAAGTGGGTATCAAATTCGACCGCCAATAACGTGAACTGTGTTTTGGTGTACGTATTTATTGACTGCAATCGGTTTTTCAGTCATGTATTGTTAGTGGAACTGGAATTGGGACTTGAACCTATAAAATATAAAAATATTTTTTAAAAAAGGCTCAATTTCTCAAACTTGCTTCAGCATTTTACTTTAGTTACTGTATTATGAATATACAGTTTTACTGAAGTTATATTGCAAGCTGAGATTGCATCAAAAAAGTTAATCATGTCTAAACGCACTCTTGGTGTAAAAAAGTGGATAGTAATATGAAGATTTTTTTTAAGAGTCTAAAAAGGAATTATTTTTAAAATTAAATTTTTAATCGGATTTGATGTTGTACTTAGTTTCACCTTCTCTTAATAAAACCCATCATCTTTTAGACACGTATACATATACGTGTCTACAACATATAGAATTGAAATATTTATAGCCACCCACTAAATTTATTCAAAATATTCCATTATAATTTTATTTGTTAAAAGTCTATGCATCATAAGTCTTATTGACTTGAAAACAAAAGCTTATTTGAAAATGTTTTCCTCATATTTTACTGAAAGCTTCTTACGAACAGAAAATAAAATAACTAAATGGTTTGTGCTTTCACTCGAATACTAAACCTAAAAAAAATAATAACAAAAACCTAGCGAGGTATAAGCAATGGTAATACATTTTTAATATAAACATTTTGTATATTGTTTTTGTCATAGTAAAATTAAAAATATAGAAATATCTATTTGTTAAAAAATATTTATAACCATACAAAAAATTGCTTTGTTTTATAAATATAAGAATTACTTGTATGTTTTTAGTCAACTCGTTTTCATAACAATGAAGAAGTATGGAAATTTATAGCTCATATTAATATTATAGACAAAAAAGTGTAACTTCTACCTCGAATTTGTTTGAGTTTACCTGCATCCATCTGAATACTGCAAATAATAATCAGGTTGATATACAATTCCATATAATGTTTTATCAAAACTTGGATAAAGTAGCATGTATTCGAGCTAACAACCTTAATATCAGATTCGCCTGGAGACGTAAACTAGCACGTACAAGAAAAGACACATTAATTATAAACTTCTACTTTATCCAACATAAATTTCTGCTAGATGTAACCATTGAAATCTTTATACATTCTAGATTAGATTAAGTCATTTGGTGAATAATATGAGACAACACGTAATACCTCTGCTAATATAATCGATGCATATTTAAAATAAAACTATTATAAGAAGGAACTATATTTTCTTTTCCATTAGGAATAAAATTAATATATCATCTGACTCATGTTCATTTAAAAAAAAAATAACATTAAAAATATAACGATATTTTTCTTATAATAAACTTACTCTATTCTCCAGATATTAAAAAACAAGCGAAATTAAAAAAAAATTACTTATATGAAAAGTATAATATAAAATGTTTATTTTAAAAGATATGTACCTATATCGAATCCATTAAACCCATAAGTTTGTGAATATACTGCGGTTAAAAACAATTATCTATAGCTGTCTGATATCGGATCCACTTTTTACTTTGTATTTTTTTTTAATAATTAAATATTTTCTCCCTATTTTATGATTGTTTTCGAACATAATAACCAAAAAAAAAGAGGTTAAGTTTGTTTTTAGAAAAAATTAACTGAAATGTTGATACATGTCCCTTAAATAGCGAAACCAATAAAGAATGTAAAAAGAAATATAAAGTGGATAAAAATTTGATTTCTCTTTTTGAATGACAGATAAAAAGCGATTTCTATAGTTTTGACAGCTTGTGCTCGGGCATAAAAGCTAACCAGTATTAAATCGATTTCCATTTAGGAGAACTGGATGGATGTCAAATTTTTTTATTACCGCATACTGAATAGCTATCCAAAGATTTGATTATATTCGAATATTATTTGATAAAATATATTATTTCTTATTTTTAATTAAAATACACACTAAAATTTATCCATAAAAAAGTTTTAACATTTTTTGTTTTCATGTAACTAAGTAAGTAAAGTTAAGTTTTGTCTTATTATAAAACATCCAAAGATACATAATATGTATAATTGATATAATTAGTTTCCTACTTTTTACCCGGGTGACTTCAATTAATTGAGAAAAATGTATCCATGACCAATAATTATACTAATTTTTCTTTTTGAACTTTTTATAAAAGCTATAATGTGGTGAAATGGAAATGATATATTGATTTGGTGACCATTTTTAAGAATTGTATTAAAAAGTCTTGAATGGTGGTTTTTGTTTTTAAATCGTTTGTTTATATGACAACAATTAATTATATTCATTATAATAGTAAAAACATTTACATGTTATCCAAAATAAATAAAAAATTTTTTTTATAACATATTCATATAATGAAAGTAATAGGACTAACCAACATCGATACTTAAAAGAAGAAGTAATCATAACATAAAAAAAATAAGTTCTGTTTTATATACTTTAATGAATTATTTAAAAAAAGTTTAGAATTCTGTTTTGGAAAAAGTGGTCCACAGTAGAGCGCTCAATAAATTAGTTTAAGAGTCAAAGACTTCAGTGTTTAAAAAGCTGATACAAATTTTGGTCAGGTTTATTTTTTAAATTAATTTATATACCATTAGTTTGTAAGAGTGATTTTAACACATTATTCTTAGAAAGGTCTCATTTTAATGGATCTATAATTCGGGAAGGACAATGGCAATATTATTTCGTCAGCTCAAAGAAAAAATAATAATGTTTTTAAATTTTTAGGTCAATTTGTTTCAATTAGAAAACACTCAGGTTACAATTGCATCATTTTAAATTCTCTCATTTACTAAACATCATTTGTTTAAAGCACGTATAAAATAAAATATTTGTTATCAATGTAAATTCGAATGTCCTTTATTCGAACAATAACAGTTATATTGCATTTAGTGCGGGAATATTTTTGCAATTAAGTAATTTATTTTGTCAAAAATATGTTGATGCACACAGGTTCAGATGTATTATCAAAGCACTTGTCACACATTTTATACATTGGAATAAAGCATTTCTGAATTTACTATATCTATGTCAAAAAGTCAGTAAATAAATAAAATTAAATTACGTACTTCATCAAAACCCACGTCAGTTATTATATTTATAAAATTAAAAATGAATCTTCGTTTGAAAATAAAACA